ACTGCGTATACATGCTATCTCCATACCTTTATGCTCTTCGATCACTTGAATGAGATAGCTACACTCTGCCAAGATTTTATGAGAAAGTCTTTTGCCGAACTCAAAGTCTTTGAGGGTGGTGAGGGCAAAATATCTCAGCTCTTTCCATGATTCTCCATTTGCAAACAGAATCCCTACAAGACATAAAATTTTACAACAGAGGGTCAGTTAATTATAGTTTACAAGCAGTGTTGGGTTTAACATATTAATTTGTTGCTTTGTGACCCTTTACATCCTGATACAACCCTCCCAGGGATGCGTGTTCCACCTGGTTTCAGAGTGGGAGTCTTTCCCTGCCCGTTAGGTGAACATGTTAACTTTGAAACAGGTTGCAAAGTAACGCGTTACTGTAATCTTATGAGATATTTTCAGTAACGTACTAAAACGTGTTATCCTACAAAATTCAGTAATTACATTACAATTACAATTATGTCTTTACTTGCATTATAACACCTTTTTAGTTATCTGCAGGACAATAGACAAATAGAAAGAAAAAGATATCAAACTTGCTTTTTACACGCTATAAACTGATTTCAGTTTGTCTTCAAGAGGAGGAAAGACAGCATGCTAACATAAAGCTATCCAAGTCAAGTCTCGTGGCTTTATTGTCATTCCAACCATGTGAAGTGGTACAGTACAAAGTGAAACGCTCCTCCAAGATCAAGGTGTGACATGACTTAGACAATCAACACAGGACTACATAAATTGCAATGTCCAAAATTGCAAAAACAGCCAAAAACAAAACAAAGACAGTGCAACACCAGACAGAACAGAACGATACAGTCAGTAGACAGTACAGACACACCTGTGCAATAGAAATGTGCAAAAGACTGAACATCCAGAAATCTAAAGTCATATCATAGCTGTCCAGTAACCCCAGTCCAGCTGCCAGAGTCCGAAGTTCAACAGATTACAGAGTCAGTGGTCAGCAATCAGGCTTGCAGCACTGAAGCCTCCTTATCTACTTGTTGATGTCTCAGTAGTAGTAGTAGTAACGGTAATTATGTGATTGTTGTGTTTCATGTCATTTTGCAGAGTAACGGGAAGGTAATGTAACAAGTAGTGTAATTAATTAGTTTATATAGCAGGAAATTAAGTGGCATACTGCATTTTTTTTAAAGAAAAGTAATAAGTAATGTGTAAATCATTATATTTTTTGAGTAGTGACTCTGATGGACCTGCAGATAATGGAGACATACAGCCCTGTTTCTACCAGTTGAGAAGCTGTGTAAAGTATACATCAAAAAAAAATCATTTTTAATGTATTGGCAGCGATGTGTTTCAGCATGTATTTCTCATTCTCCGCAGTATGTTGTAATGCATGACAGCACTAAGCTATAGTGCAAATGGTGGCATAGACTCTGTTTTGCATTGTTTGTTATTTTATATGGGTATGTGTTATATTCAATATATTTCAGTTCTTTCTGAGTTACCTGGCCTCCGCACCAGTCTTTTCTGGTTTGGCTGAAAGAGAAGGCTGAGGGTGGAGCTGGTTTAAATGCAGAAGCCAATAAAATGGACTGGACCATCTATTGCGATCATGTAGGGGGAATGTGCTTCTTCTTAAATGAGGGTTAGCTGTTATCTCTCTAGTTTTCACCTTTGGGGTATATAATGATTTATTCATTTGCTATATAACTGGAGCTTTTTCTCGTTGGGGCAGGTCAGTTTGTTGAGTTATGTTTTGTTAAGTGACTTTTGAGTAGAGTGTTGTTAGGTTAACCTCTTTTATGGGCCGTCTTGGTTCTAAAAAAAAAAAGTTTATTTTTGTCATTTAAATTTTTTGTAATCATCTTGTCCTTTTGGGGGTATAATAAAACCTATTTTTTTGAAGATTACATTTGTGCCTGTGTGTTCCTAGATGCTTGGTTCATGATAGTGAGTGACAGGTCTGAAACGCAGACAGGTCGGTGTAAACTCTGTGACCGGTAGAAAAGAGCATGTTTAACAGACCTGGATATCTTTTTTCTTTTTTCATGGGTAAATTTACTTTAACATCAGCAATCAGGTAAGAGGTCAGATGACTGTAGTTATCAACTCGAAAAGTCAGTCCAAGGTTTTCCAATCATGTGGTAATACCTTCAAACATGGATAAGTCTGCAGGCAGCAGATAATGTGATGTGTGCTATTGTGCTAAAGTTTCTTCACAAAGAAACATCACCCTAGTTTAAAGATTTCAAACATAACTCAGTAGGTCTTTATTTGTTTTGTTTTTTTGTATTTCAGATTCATTTTATCACTTTTGATCTGGCGTTTCCATCTGTGTCATTGGTGAAATGTTATTATAAGCCAACTATCAACTGAACTCAAATCAACACAATGTTGTCACAAACAGCAGAACTTAACTCACAGCAGACATCAAGAACAAAGGAATATGCACCACTAAACCTTTAAAATATTATTTAGTAATATTAGTTTTCTGACTGAAAGGAAACCTGGACTTCATGATATTGGTCAGCTGTTGCAAAACATGAGGAAACATGCTGTTAATTGTGCAGCCTGTTTCTATCATGATTTCTTATATCTCTAGTGATCACAAATAACAAAACCTGCAATTTCCCTGGGCTCACACAGAATGGGTGGATGATTTGTGAACATGAAATTAAACTTAATAAACCACAATATAAAAGAATCATACCATGACCTTGGTTTACATCATTAAGTATCGGGGAGATGTTGCGCTCTCCAAACTCCTCTGCATAGTTGACCAGTGCCTCTCTGACTGTCTCATATCCAGCCAGGACCACGACTTTGTTGGTTCCAAAGTAAAGAGTAAATACAGAGCCATATT